GAGAGCAGTGAGTAGAATTAGAAATAGAAATTTCTTCAGAAGAGAACTGGGCATGTTTATGCATAATGACTTCCTGGGGGTTATTGGGAACTGTTCCTACCCTTTGAGGCTGGGGATAGAACACATTTGGCAAAGTCTCTGAAGATGGACTGTGCAAAAGGGGCAAGAACTTGTCAGCAAATATCTGTAACAAATCTTACATCCTTAGACAAAGCCACACTGACAGAATAGAGCTCTATCACTCTTCATTTCCCTCTACATTAGGCAAGACTCACAATATACTTGTTTCTTAATTTTCTCTAATGCTGTCTCCTTTTGTTATCATTGCAATTAATTGCACCCTAACAGGGGTACTGTTGTGTGATTAGAAGTCTAAATTACAGTAGCAGCAAGTATCCACTCAATTGTAATATTAGCTGTATGGCTTTAAAAAGGGATTCAACTTCCATCATGGAGTAAGACATTATCTCCCATCTCCATGCATCACCCATACCTGCAGTGCACTAGACAATGCCACTGGAATTGAAAATTCATTTTGGAAAATTACTGAGAAAGTATGTATCATTTCCTTGAAATTTTGATTACCCAGATAGAAATCAGGAACTAAACTAAGCCATAGATCCTAATGTGTTTATTAATAACAGAATACAAAATTAAAATTTTGTGCATAGATTTCATTTAGTGCAAGCCAACAGGTTTATAGCAAAACTTCAGACACCATCTCTTTCCTTCTTGGCACAAAATTCCATCTTAACCTAAGACCTCTGCCCCGACCAAAGATCCATCTCTCAATACCTGGAGTCACCCCATCACATCAACCCCCATGAAATGCAGCTTCGATAGGCCAGAAAGCACTTCTATAGAGTTCAAAAGGAGAATGGAATCAAGATATCTCAAACACTAATGGGATATATTAAAGCAATTCAATTATTTTAATCTGTTTCATATATCATGAAATTATGTAGAACAATTTCATTTAAATGTTACTATCAGTGTTGGAACTTCAATTGTGAATCGTTACACCAGCAAATATTGAAGAACATGAGTGCAGGAGAAGTTCTATTGCAGGCTATGCAAGTGAGGACCACAACTACACCAGCAGGAGAAATTTCCATCATAATCAACTCATTCATTCTGTAATAACCTCCTTAGGAATCATGCTTCAAGATTATAATGTCCTATGATTAGTTTTAGTCTGAAGTTAATGTTGTGCTTTGAGTCGGTGTTTGCTTTACTGGAGTTATAACACTCTCACACAGAGTGAGAATACTTTTAATTATAAAATAATTATAAAAATAAATTGAATAAAATAAATGAACAATAGCCTAAAAGGAGATGAATTAGGCCATTTACATACTACATAGAATAAGCCTTCTTTGAAAGACAAAATACATAGGAAAGTTAAAAGGAAATCAAGGTTCTTTGCAGCAAAAATTACTTTTCAGTTAATTTTAACCACACATTTCTCTGCTCCATGATAAGTTTTCTCTGCATTATATTTGATTTATTGTAAAGCATAGATACAAAATCACCTATTCCTACATATATGATAGAGATAAGTGAAGTCTCTTGATTATTTTTCAATAATAATGTTTTACTCCAGTGAATATTAAAAAGCAAAATATATATCATATGCCTTTTTATAATATTATATCAAAGGTGTAAATTACACCATGGACAAGTCGAAGCTCCATCACTAAGTCAATTTAAACATTTTTATCATTGGAGTGAATATTAAGAGTGTTACCAGTTTTGATGATGAGTGTCAACCAAGACTCTTATTTTTATATGAGGCATCAATCCAAATATATGAAATATATTTATTTAAATTGTTAAGTAAAATATTTTGATCAATATTTTATGTGTGTTTTACTGATATATAAAAATCTTATGCGTATAATGATAGTGATAGACAGCTGTGTAGTTTATAAAAAGAAACTAGTAAATGAAAACCATGAAAAAATATATACAAGTTTAAAAATGTAAATCTCTGTTCTTGTGCATTCCAATTTAATTAAACCAAAATAATCCATTCATATTTATATTAAAAAAAACTGAATAGAGATCAGGTATGGACTACTGACTTTGTATTAAAACAATATCAAAACCTTAGGACCTTTGTATGAGAAACATCAAGAGATATCAACCAGTGAATTAATATAACTGTGTCCATGTAAGCAGAGAATATAATGGTTTTATACTAGACATTATAGAAAACATAACACATATCCACAAACCACTATATACACATCAATAAATGTTAAGTAAAATTCTTACCTTCCATTTAAAGGTCAAACAGTTTTTAAACACTTCTTGAGTAACTAAAACATGTGCTTGACTTTCTAGTTGTTTGTAGTTAAGAGAATATCTCAAAGATAACTATTATGTTACGCTGTTTTGTTTGTCTATTAGCCAAGATCAGAAATGTTAACTGAAGAAGTAAAACCATGATAAGCAGCCTAAAATGATAACCCTAGAGCTTATGTTATGGCTGAGATCAGGGACGAATCATACACAGGTTCTCAGGTGTTGGAAGTGAGACTGGAGCATGTCCAGGCCAGGACCATCATCTTCAAAAAATTTTTTGTTCCCACTGCTTTTAAAACATGTTTTCTTATTAGAAGCTATATGCAATTTCATTGAAATATTAAATTGGAAAAAAAAAGAAATATTAAATTGGCAGTTCTGTTGGCCAACTCCTTTCTCAACTTCTACTCTGGATTCAATCAACCCACACATACCAACTTGTAACACAAAGCTAAAACAGGACATTGAGTATCCATATATGAAAAACTAATGCAAGAGAAAAACTAAAACTTAAATGACATCTTACTTGTTAGAGTAACTGTCACATGTGGAAGTTACATATTTTCCAGAGCTGTGATTCTTCCCCAACCCTCTTTGGACAATATCATTTGAACATTTTCCTGTTGTCACAAACAGATGCTATTGGAAACAAGATCCCAGGAGACTATTCATTCATCATCTTTTAGCTAAGATACAATTTTAAAGTATTTTTTCTTGTTTTTCTTATTAGACATCCGAGAATCTCAGCCTTCAATGTAATCAAAACGTCAATTGAAAACATCCAGAATAGTAAGCACTTTAGTCCTTGAATGTGTTGGGCTTCCCACAGAGAAATTATGAATCATTTCTAAGAATATTCTCTCCTGTTGACTATTCACATTTAAGCAGGAGAAGACTAGCCAATCTTTACATACATACATATAGACATACATACATATGCATGTATGCATACATACACATACATATATCTACAGCAAATTCATTAAAATACATTTGTCTGTACGTATAGTCCCATCAATCTCTCCTAAACAGTCATGCATGCTATTTTCTCTTATGGTCTGCCTATGATAAGGTGCTAAGCGCCACCATATGGCAAAGTCCTGAGTTCAAAACATGCCACCAGCAAGTTACTAAGCCCTTTAGACATTCATGTAACTCTACTTATTTCCTTGAAGAAATTAGAAATTGGGACTTTTAATTCGCAGAGTTCCACCTTTCTGATCAACATGGAAACCCCTATTGTTCTGAGATTCTTTGTCCTCTACAATGAAGCTGGTCACATGGGTGTCATGATTCCTGGGATGTCACTCTCCAGTTTTCTAGTCTGCATTGGGTTTTACTCAGTGTGTATTCCCAGGAATGCAATGTCATTTGCTATATTCACACTCCGACAGTTTTGCTTAAATGCTATTCTGTCAAAAAGCTTTCTTTTCTAAGTTATTGATCCTCCTAGCAACCTTTGAAACGCAGCCTCTGTTCCTGGTTTTTTGTCCATGGAAAGGAACCGAAGTGTGGACTCTCGTAAAAGTCAAATGTTTGAGCAGTGATGAGAAACTCTTCAGCTAAGAACTCCATTTAATGCTCTCAGCAAAGGGAGGCAGCAGAGAGAGGAAGCAGGAGAAATCAATTGTGATTTTGCTTTTGCTGTAGATGGGAAAAGACTCCTAAGCAAGGGCCTGCCTTGAGAGGGGCCTGCTGAGAAGACTGAGGCTGAAAAACAGTCAGGGGCTGCAGGAGGAGCTGTCAAAACCACGCAGGGAGGAGTGCTGTGGCATTGACTGCAAGCTTTTACAGAGTGCTTTACAGAGCCTTGGTTGCCTGGACCCTGGCAAGAACAACTCAATACCAGAGAGTGTGGAGTATTGAAACACACAACTTGCTGTGGGAGAGAAGAGTAAAGAGATCCAGGCTTCCATTAGAGACTCTCTCAAGGGGTAAAACTCAGAAAGGAGCAAATATGGGACACCTTAAACGTCATCCATGCAGTCTGAGTCAACTTAGCAACTTTCACTGGGAAAAGAAAAACAAACAAACAAACAAACAACAGCAACAAAGCGGGCTCTCTGAAATTTGGAAGTTTTTATAGGTCAATTGAAAGTTAAAACTCTTTAAAATGTCCATTTTCAGTGTTATTTTAACCCCAACAGGAAAATGCAACAGAGAAGGAAGAAAAAAAATTCATAGACTTGGCAGCTTCTCCTGATATTTAGACCATGTTTATTAAGTATTCCCATTATCAAATTATATAATGCTTCCATCCTTAAAAATCAAAAGACAAAAACGAAACAAAACAAAATCCCAAGTTTACTTTAAAAAAGAAAATCCAAGACATTACTTCGGAAGCTAGAAAATCGTGAAGCACCCTCCACCCCCACCGGTCAGTTTTCCGTTTTGAGAATACAACATTCCCCTTAGACAATTCTGCCTCTGTGTGTCTATATTTAAGCTCAAAACACATGGCTTTCTACTTAGTTTCATAAGTAGAGTGCCATCAGGTTTCCTTTTGCTTTTTCTCTCATACTTTAGCCATTAAAAAACAGCAACAAAAGAAGGAGTTTTTCTGAGGGAGAGGGGCGTGGGGTGGGGTGGGGGGGACATGGGATCGTTATTAAACAAAACTTCTCTCAACCAAGAAATCTTCGACGTCCAGCAAAGAAACAGATACTCAAAATACTGCAAGGACAGCAACTTACCTTTGACTCCTCTTAACAGTGCAAGGGCTACAGTGGCAGGGTCCCGCAGAGTTTTCCCCATGGGCAGAACTGCGAGGACTGATAGAGAGTCAGAGAAAGCAAAAAGGAGCCTTAGCTACGAAAATGTGGAGAAATCCAAGAATTAAAGTGTCGTGATTTCGGTTAGAGGAGAGTACAGTCTATTTTGCAGAATATATGACTCAGTGCATATTTCTTTGCCATTGTTTTCGGGTTCACTTAACCATAAAGAGGGAAGACAGCTCAGTGAAGCATGGCTGGCTTGACAATGGGCCTTCTGCAGGTTAGCCAAATTCAACTGGCAAAAGCTCGCCCCACACCCTTTTGTCTGCTCCATTTGCACCATAATGTTGGACCTTCCTCACATATTTCCCAGATCTAGTCTGGCCATTTATCCCCAGAGATAGAAAAAGTCATTTTTATCCTGTCCTTAAAAGTTACTTTATAAAGTATTGTGCGGTTCTACCAACAAAAGACACAAAAGGGTAAATGCACTTCACATGGCCACAATTAGGGCTTCTGTTTCCGCTCTCCTGCCCTTGTCAAAGCTTTGATTTAGTTTTCCTTGGTTTTGTCCAAGGGTCATTACAGATGTCTGCAGACAATTAGCATCTCCCCCCACTGCACTCCCCAACGAGATGATTAGCAAATTAAAACTTTGCATTCTTCTCTGTCCACTGAGACCTCTTGGGAAAGATCAGCAGCTGTGATTATTTCTGAGGACTGGAGGCGGGCATCAAGGTGCTTGTCTCTACATTTGGGGAGCTAAATATTAAGTTAGCAATTCAGAATCCCATTAGGTCACATGCTCCAGCATTTAATGAAGCATTCAGCTCTGAAACTTAGAAACAATTGTATCCTTGATGGGGCGGGGGTGTTGCGCAGGAGCACTGTGCATCCATGCAGTACATGTTCCATGCCAACCTGACCCATTATAAACTGGACTTGGCATAGCATATGGACCGTTGAGCGCATTTTCAGCCTCTGATGCAGAAACTGAGCCCCTGCTCTGCATAAGGGCTCAGTATAATTTTTAAAGTATGCACGACCTATGGAGTCAAGTAAATGCCAACCATAAATGAAGTATTCAAATGATCCAGAAGAGATCGGGTCTTCAGTTTCAAGCAGCAATTGAAACATAGGAAAAACTTTCTTGGCTCCAACTTTGTTTAAGGAGAGCAAATGTTTGATTAGGTTAGCAGACGGCAGAGGCGGAAGGCAAGGCTGTTGGCAGTAATAACCCAACCATATATAGGATAGAGAATCTACATAGAGGTCGGATAAAGGAGGCCCAAATGTCAGGCTTCCATTCAAAATATACATCCTGAAAAAAATAGACATCTCTCTCAAGTGTATACACAGAATGAAAGAGTTTTAAAAAGAAAGTTCTCCATCTCTTCATTTTTCCTCATAATTTTGTGGTGGTAAGTCATACAGATAAGCACAGATATCCCCACCTGTAGAAATCAGTGGGCTATGCAAAGATGGAAGGCAATATTAACTGTAAAACTGAACCTCATGTATTAGCTAGCTGCATTATCTTCCTCCTAACTGTCTCTTGAAACTCAAAACATTGGCAGTCATACACTTTCCTGGCACCTCTGTTTAATGGCACTGGCTTAAAGTAGCAAGAGCTTGTTTTTTTTTCTCACTAAAATGGATTACCATTGCAATGGGACTCACTCTCTATTGTACAAGGAAATCACTCTCCTACTCCTAAAACAAAGAAGGCTATTGACAAATTCAGGGGGAAAAAAGCACACGTGTGAGGATTGAGGCCATCTGTGTTTTTAAGTTCTACAGAGCAAAAGTGTTTGTAATTTCCTATCTCAAACCCGAAGTAGCTGTGGACAGGAAAAAAAAAATATAAAGATAGGAGCAGGAATTGGCCCATTAAGCACTCTTTGCACCTTATCACCAAGAAATTCCCACAGGACAGGTTGGCTCAGGCCCATAATCCCAACATTTAGGAAGCAAGGATTTCTGTCAATTCAAAGTCAAGTAAAATTCCATAGTGAATTACAGGCCAACCCAGGAGGCTGTTTCATAAGACCCTGGCATAAATAATAGTAAATGATTATGATGATAGAGATGATGATGTGTGCCACAGCACACATCTATAACCTAAGCACCAACTGGGTAAAGAGAGACGCATTCCTGGGGCTTGCTGGCCAGTCAGTCTAGCTAAAACAGTCAGCTACAGGTTCAATGAGACCCTCTTAAAGAAGAGAGCTTGAGAGAGATACTGGGGGAGACCAGAAAGCCATCCCTGGCCTCCCCACGAGCAACAGGCACACAAACACAAAGAAAGAGAGAGAGAGAGAGAGAGAGAGAGAGAGAGAGAGAGAGAGAGAGAGAGAGAGAGAGAGAGAGAGAGAGAGAGAGAGAGAGAGAGAGAGAGAGAGACGGAGACAGAGAATGAAGGAAGGAAAGAAGGAAGCAAGCAAGCAAAGAAGGAAGAAAGGAGAAAAAAGAAGAAACAAATCTAAATAATAATCCCTAACCAAAACATTAAATAACTACAACAGTATGCTGAGGTGAACTAAGCCATTTTTTTTCTTTTTATTGCAAGGTGTGTTCTAGGACCATAAAACACAGCACTTAATTAAACTAGTTGAATCATCCAACAGGTTGTGACTTCCAGCCAAGAAGCCGTACCTCACCTGCAGGACTTTGTGTGACTATGTTATTCCTTTCATCACAAAGTCAGGATTATGCCACACTCCATAGAGGAGCTTTGGTTTAGTAAGAAATTCACCACAGCAGTGGCCTCACGCGCAAATGTGCAAATATAAACCATGGTAACCACCTGAGTAGAGGGACAGCCATGGTACTCTGCCAGAGCTAGCATCTGTAATGTGTAGGTTTTTTGTTTTTTTTTTTTTTTTGAACAGTTCGACCACCTGGCTTCTGTGAAAGTCAAGAGAGCTGCCTTGCAAAGGTCAGTCATCCTCCATCTCACTGTGACAGCCTCCTCTGCCATTTTCCTGTTCCTTATTAGAAAAGTGAATGTTCTCACTAAAGGAAAAATAAGTAAATCAGTTAATCCAGGGATGGCTAGCTAACCATGAGAGGGATGTCAGCTAGGAAGCTAATGCTCCTTTCTCGGCACTTCCTGGCTAACTTTGGTGTGACCTCCAGTCCACAAAGTTCTCTTCCTCCCAGAATCTTCCATGTGTACTTCTTGTGACTCATTACTTCTCTCCTTCTCCATTTCTTTACTCCTCTTGGTATACAAAGGCAGGGTAGCATTTATTCCATGTGACATTCCAGAATTTCCTGCATATTTCTTGTCCCATATAAGACAAATAGGGAAATTAAACAATATGCTTGAGGCCCTTGGTTTGGTTTATTATTTATTTGTTTATTATGTGATCTGGAGCTGTCTACTTTTCCATGGAGAAAAGGAGCTATGACACTTGTACCAACGGAATGATGGAATGTTTAAATGCAATTTATTTTATAAATATTTTATCCTCCTTTCGTGTTTGGGAATGTATAAAATAGAAAACAGATATAAATCATGGTGAGCCCCCAGTAACCTGACTTTCTAGCCGGCTTTCAATAATGGAGCCTTTGCCATGGGCTATTTTACCTCTGGCAACTCCACTGCTCTCCAGTGCAGTCATGTGAAGTACACAGAGTCATGATTCCCATTTTACAGATGAACACACATACGGAAAGAGAAATTAAGTGACTGGACTATTGTCACCTAGCTCATAACGGTGAGAAGAGGATTCAAATGCTAATCACAGCTGCTCTGAGATTTAATGCTGTTTCAAATCCTTTGCTCTTTAAGTTATTTACCTTGCAGCACATATAATTTTAAAAGATCAGACTAAAGAAGTTCATAAATCAGAGACAAAATTTCTGAGAAAATAATAAAGAATATGTAACCTTGTTGCCTTGGAGCAATAAATGTATTTGTACTTTTGAATCATATAATAATTATGACAACTTTTTGTTGTACCTGCTAAGTGCATGATCAATAAAGTAATAGAAATGTAGAATGAACCCAATATTTATCCCTTGGTATTCACCAATTTACACACACACACACACACACACACACACACACACACACATCATAAATCATTTTTAAAATCAAGTATATTAAAGGCAAATATTCTCTCTCTACCTCTCCTATCCCTCCCTCCTTCCTCCTCTCCCCCCAGGCTTTATTTCTCCCTCTTCCCTTCCCTGCCACAATGTAAGGACACAGTGACCAGATGGTCATCTCCAAATCAGGAAGAAAGCCCTCAATAGTCAAATCTGTTAGCGTCTTGATCCAGAAAGACCCGGCCTCTAAAAATGCAACAGATGCAGGCGTGTTGTTTAAATCCACATGTGGATGTTTTACATGTCAGCCCAGGCACACCAGCGCAGATCCTGCTACTATCAGAGTAAATCTTATTCTTCCACTACCCTGGGGGTGAGGCTCTCCTTGTTTGTTCAGTTCTTGCCTTTTGGGATGAGTTAACTATCAAATCTCCCAACATAATATTTCAGCTAGACTTCTGAAGAAGGCTCCATTCTTCCAACCTTTCTGGAAAGATCAGGAGGAACCTTTCTGAAGAGGTAGTGTTTGATCAGTCTGTACAAATGAGTGCTTTGTTCTAGGATGAGAGCCTCTGGGGCAAGGAAAAATAAAGGCAACACCCTTGAGCAGAGATGGTTCTATCAAAACAGATGGTGGTGAAAAATCAGGTTATGAGATACAGGCAGTGATTGAATCATAAAGATCTAGGCATCCCAAGGAAATATTTGGGATGTTTAATCCTCTACTGTTGGAGGCTTTGAATGTAGGAGAGGTAGCAGTATTCCTAGCCTCTGAACACTAAGACGACAATGACATTTCTTCCTCATGATGACATCCAAAACTTTTTCCAAATTTTGCCAGAAATCCTTCAGGAGGTGAAGTTTCTCAGGATTGGGAATTGCTATTGTGGACTACAGAAAAGACTTGGTATTAGTACATACTTAGTCCCAAATGGTTTGTCTTCCAGCAGAAGAACTGTAGGATGTTGGGACCAATCAGGTCATAAATGGAATCCATGGGAAAGGAGGAACAGTAAATGAGATCCAGGTGAGACAGCTTGGCCTGCTGTCTTCATCACTGACTGGACTTCCTGATGGATGGGATGTAGGATATGAATAAAAGATAGATAGTAGAGTCCAATTTTGAGCCAGAGTTAACTGAAAACTGATAGTATCTGTGGTTGAGGTTGAGTGAGTCC